ATAATGATTATCATCATAATAATTTCATTACAATTCATTAAAATAATAAATTTCTTGTATATTATAAAATACTCATAAACTCGCTTTAAGTTTAAAATATAATGAAAAGCCGATGAGATGTCCTAAATCTCACCTTTAAATTGTATAAGATATCATTTCCCTTTAATATTAGAAATTATTATGATTATAATCATTATTGTCAACGTACAATTTGCTATGTTGCAAGTGGATCAAAAACAGAAAAAAAATGCACCGACATCTTCTAACACAAATAAAAGATAAGTACATAAAATACATAGACACTCAAATGGATAAGAATCGGCACACTCAGACAACCCACTGGTACCAAATGTGCAGTTTAAAAAAAAACTTGAGTAATTATCACAAAATAACACGTAGCCTATATCGGCTATGTACCCCAATAAAGCAATGTCAAAATGTCAACTGTATTTTAAAAACGTCAAATACAATTCTTGCTTCATAATATGAAAATAAACGTTTCATATAGATATTAATAGAACAGCAAAAGCATGCGGTCGTAATCGATTTATAAATAATTTATTGATCCATGCCCCATTCCTTATTACAGTTTACAATTATTAGCCCTAACACAAAAAAAACCATTAGCCGAGTATTCAAAAGTAGTATAATAATGATTTTAAGGTTTTAAACTTACTACCTACGTTAGTACCAAATACCCCACCCTGGTCCCTAGCCGCCCTATACATTATGTCTTCAGTTTTTTATTTCACACAAAACACATTTAAATATTATGCTTTTATAATACACTATTACAATAAGGTTTCAATGTACAGACGAATGTTCAGTTTTTCTTTTTTTGTCATGCGTTATTGGGTTCTAATGTCTTTCAATTTTATACTGCACATGATGAAATTCCGTTATGAAATAAATTGGTATTTTTAAATTCCATCAAAGTTTTATAAGTACTAGGATAACTTATCAACGAAACCGTATTTAATAATAGCATAAGCAGTGCGTATATGATTTATCGGTTGGAACATAGTTCATAACTGAATCAGTAAATACTTAACTAAAATGATACAGGCTCTGTTACCTTTTACTAGACCTTTAACACTCGGAATTATATATTAAATTTATTCTATAAATTGTAAGTTGAATTCCTGTAACTGCAAGGTCAAAAACTTCGATTTGTAATGAGATCTTTTACGGTCATTTCAGAGGTATCTACCTATAATTGAGTAAATATTTTAGTAATTAATTAATTTTATCTTAAAATAATGCGTATTTATACTATTTTTACTGATTGAATGTAAATAATAACTCTGGCCTACACTGCAAGCATTGATTAAAGGCAGTTAATAGAAGATATCCATCTGCACAATACAACTAGTATCTCATTACCAGCTTGCATTAACAGATACAACTCGTATAAAGCATAAAAAAAGTGATAATTAAACCGACAAACTTTCTAATGAGTTTGTTGAAATCACATTTCCAGGACATTAGTGAGCTGTTATATCTTTTAATATCATAGGTACCATGTTTAAAAAACGCCATGTATTTTACCCATGTACCTATAATAGTACAAGACATGTTCGCACTCATGTTGTAGGTATCGTAGGTACATGGAGGAACGTTAAATAAAACTTTTTTATGGTCTCTTATCTCGTACAGTTTTACGATCGAAATTTAAAATTCTTACCGTCAAATTATATTATTATTTTATTCAGCCTACGACTCGATGTCGCCGCAAGTTCATAAATAATGAGTCATAATAATGGTATATTATACTGTAAAGTCTCCCATATTCCTGTGCTTGCAATATATACTCGAAATGAACCCAAACAACAGAATCTTAATATACCCAGAGTACCGGTGATTCCCGAGTTTTGGGGAAGTAATTTCAATATTTAAATACAGAATCAAGCTTGAAGTTGCAAATGTAGGGCCATTGATTTTACAACTATGGTACACAGTGTATCACATTATTTTTTTTGTATCGAGGCCGCAAATACAAGTTTAAAGCAAAAATTATATGAACTTTACTCATAAAATAATACTTATGAAGAAAATAATTTTCATTTAATATTAAAATATGTAAATATTTTATAAAAAAACTACATCAAATGTGTGGAATAAAGGCACTCCAGTATTGCAGTTCTTACATTCTTCCGAAATACACGTTCGACATGAATTTCTTTAACAATAGAATTTTAAATGGTCTAAACTCATATAGGATTAGCTTAAAACCTATTCGCGTTTTACCGGTTAAGCCAAACTATAAATAAATAATGTTTTTAAAAAGTATTCTTTTTTCCAAAAAATAAATACGAGTATTTGTTATCCTGTTGTGAAGGAAGTATTCATATTTTAATTCACAAAATACACAATTCCTTACAACACACAGAAAATATTCTAACTGACGTCCACAAACGTTCATTAAAATTTCTGAAATTTATTTTGCCACGGATGTGAATTTATGAACTATAGATGCCTACTACCTACCTCCTTTCCAATTTTATTCATCACTGAAGTTTAACCGTTTCGCTTCGTTAACATTATTTTATACTAAATAGTAGATCGTAATACTTTTCATACGTAAATATAAAAATTATTAAACCTATCTGTGTGTAGTGTGTGTAACGTGTAACAGTGGTGACAGGCTAACAGTAGCATATCCAGGGGTGTTAGGCCTCCCCGAAAATTGTTAAATAATATAAAAATGGTCATTATAAATCATTTTCACATAAAATGTGTCGAAAAAAAGAAGGAAGAAAAATTTCTAGGTACTATGGGCAAACAATCTCAATAGTCAATAATCGTCTACTATTATTATACAAAACGCGTAATATTCTATGAGTATGAGGTGCAGGGCCGGTGTAATATGATAATCTTACCCCCGGATAATATTACCAGGATGGGTAAAATTATCCTATAGTATAATTTTCCTAAGAAAATGTTACCGGGGGTACAACTATTAACCTAGGATAATTATACCATTCCCTCACCACTGGTAAGATTATCCGGGGGTACGATTTTACTAGGATACCAATTTGAAGACGGTTTGAGCTGTGCAGTGGAGCAGCGTATTGAAAGGCGTTTATAAATATGATTCAGGTTTATCTTAAAGGCTTAAAATCGGACCGTCTCCGAGACCAAAGGAACTCCCAACAACGACTAAGTATAGGCCCAGCAAAAAATATTGCACATAGGCACATATAGCACCCTAATATTCACCAAGCCGGACCTATAGGTATGATGTGAATTTGAACGCCATGAATAATTACGAACAATAACGCCAATGGAGCAGTTATAAATTAATCCCCGTGGCAATAATAATGCAGTCTGCAAAGATGTTTTTCTCCGCAGAGCGGTTTTTCTTTTTCATTTTTTTCGAAACGTATCCGCTCTGTAATAACAATATGATGGTGATTGGTGACCGCCGGAGGCACCGAAATGAGCCTAAAATACGCGTCGACACATAAGACATAATTGTAAAATACTTGTATGACCGAAAATTCCGATGAATATCAATTTCCAAGAGAATAAAACATAAGAGAAAACAGTTTCGCGTAAAAAATAAATTTAAAAACATAAACGTTTTACTGCCGCACAGTAGCCAGAAAGATTAATCTTGACAAATGCTTGAAAAGTTTTTCTTCCTTTTATATTTTTTCCAACTCTGGTTTCTCTTGCCGCAAAAATACCTCGAACAAGTCAAACCAAAACTGGCTTAAATATTGTGTTATACCGATTCATCTGTTTTTTTTTCTTGAAATGTTTATTCTTAACATTTTACATTTAAATATTTAAAATGCTATATATTTGGCCACTTTTTCACCATAATTCCGCAACGAATTTCGACCGTATACTTTTCCGAAGATCAAAGTTTTACTTCATAAAATAATTAACTAAATATAGAACAATTAATTTAGTAAAATAATAATATATGCATATTAAATATGTCCTATATTAATGCTCTGTTATATTTTGGCGTTCACTGGATTTTCCCAATTAGTTTGATCATAATACAATGAATAATTATATTATATGATATTATTATTAAAATCAGACATCTGCGGATTTTAAACAACGCCAGCTGTTGTATGTTGAATATTATTATTGTGAATATACCCTTCAATAGACATTGTCGACCTACCTTAATATATTAGCTTTCAAGTATTAGATAACCGATGTGTTGTACTCGTAGTATAATTGTGTAACAGGAACAAAACGTCGTGTATTATCTTTGAATATTATGACCGTATAATTATTGTAAGTTATAATTAACTTATATAATAATAAATAATAGTTCAAATTTAGTTACTATGTAATAATCAACTGTCATTTATAACACATTTACCTATTATATTATGTTCTAATAAGCCGCCAGCGCAGTAAAATGTTCACTAATGTATTATATAACATAGGTAGGTTAATACAGTTCAGAAACTATATTAGGTACCAATCAAACTATAATTTTCGAATATTAAAACTGTTGCAAACTTGAGAAAACTTTCTTAAACATGCTTCAAATGATCATTTCTTCAACACGTCATTACGTTACGGGTTGCTTTATTAATGGAATCACATGATTATTTTATACTATGTTGGCCAATTTTAGTAATACTTATATTTTATTAGAATCATTTTTAGTAATGGTTTTTATTTTTAAGAGATATTTAGTCATTATAAAAAAAATTAGAACTTCCATTAAGTTTACTCGATTATTATGAGTATCAATTTGTATTATCATTAATATTATCATCTTTTGATTGCAAACGATTGAACGATTAGAACGAAGGTACCTTTTTTTTTTTATTATGGCATCGAGGACTGGAGGAGGAACTATGGTGCCAGTACTTTTAATTCAGCCCCCATCGTTTATTGGCGAAAACAAAAACATACAACAAATAACAACGGCGAGCCAATCCCGCACTCGCTGCAATTACAAACAAAATTGGTCTATATGTATAATAAAACAGCGGACTATATGTATAATAATAATAAAACGGCTCTCCCTAATTTTATTGTCTTAAGCTACAAATCAATTTTCGGCTAACAGTTTTCTATGCTGAATTCCGTCGGTTCACAGCCTGTCGCACACGTTCCTCTTCTTCTTTTACCGAAAGGTTGTTTTCCACCATGCCGTAGAACAGCCGGAACCGCTCTTCGGCTTCTCTCAGGATCACATACCTCCCGTGAGCGTCCGCCGGCAAGAGCTCGAACGCCGGTCCACAGATGATGTCCGGAACGTCATCAGCGCTCGGTTGATGGTCAATCCTGGCGCTCAGGGCTTCACGAAGGCCGTCCCAATGGGGGCAATCGAACAGCGTGTGTTCGACGGTGTCTGATTCGCCCGAACACTGCCAGCAACGAGGGCTGGTGGCCCTGTTCATGCGATGGAGATACCACTCAAAACAGCCGTGTCCCGTGAGTGCCTGTGTCATATGGAACGTCAGAGGCACCCACGGGACAGTCCTTCCTAGCCATCTTGCCAGGTCAGGGATGACGCGGCGCGTCCAGGCCGCCTTCGGGGTGGCAAGCCATCTCGCCTGCCAGGCGACGATCGTGGCTTTTCTTGCCTCAAGTTTCACGGCCACCTTAGAAGGCCGTTGTTCGCCGGGCTCCATAGCGGCGCGCAGTCGGGATCCGATGTACTGTCTCTCCAGTCCAAGCAGGTCAGCGGGCGGCATACAGGCCAAAATCAGGGCGGCCTCGTCCGACACGGTGCGGTAGGACCGGATTACCCTCAAGGCGGCGGTCCTCTGCGGACGGATCAAGATCGCCCTAGTTCTGGCGACTCCTGTAACGGAAGGGATCCAGACGGGAGCAGCGTATAACAACTGGCTTTCCACAACAGACGCGAGCAGCCTCCTCTTCCACTGTGCCGATCCGCCTATGTTGGGCATGAGCCTGGATAGCGCAGCCGCCGAACAACGGTACTCGCGTGTGCAGCAAAATTCAGACGCTTCTCCAGAATAACACCGAGGTACCTGATCTCGTTTCGCAATGGGATCAGGTGGCCGCCAACCGTCAAACGTGGCGGGACAAACGCCCGCCTCCGGGAGAGCACCACCGCCTCGCTCTTCTGATGAGCCAGCAGTAGGCCCCTGCTCCGCATCCAGTCGTCTATGGCCGTCAGTGTGGGATTGAAGAACGAAGGTACCTAAGTAATAAGTAGTAGCAGTATAGCTGGTATAAGACGATGTTTTAAGTTACAACGGTTATTTTATATTTTTGTTTCTTTGAAATGATTTAGTAGCTGTTCCTAATAAACTATATAAAATAATATATATTAAGTGTTAACTGATGAAAAAAAATTTCAAGAAATATTTTGTATGGCGCAATGTAACAGTAAATTGAAGTAAGTAATGTCACTGTGTCAAAGAGCGATGAAATTCCATACGATTTTCTGAAAAGTTTTCAATTTTTACATCCGTATAGATTTAAAACTTTTGTTCATGTATAATAGTATTATCATCAGTCTTGAATATAGAGACGAGGATACCATATAATATTACAGGTGTTCTGATGAACTGTTTGTCTATGAGTTGGATTTACTTCATTAATATTGTACGTGTCTTTAGCACGACTGCACGAGGCCTTCGTAGTCCGTACCTAGAAGATAACCATACACCTATTTATTAAAGCTATTATAGTTATAATTTTATACATTTACAACAATTTTCCCCATATTAATGTATTGTTAGAGGAAGAGTACAAATCCGTGTAAAACTGCGCAATGCATGATATCGTTGACGTGTAGTACGTCGGCTTGCTTGAGCCACCTGTATAGTAGTTATTATATAATGACAGTTATTTGTTAATAATCACGCACATCGCTGCTGTCATATCATAACATAATAATGAAATAATAAAAACCATGATATTTTTTACAATCATCGGGACCTGAGATTGATCGATACTAATCATGTATCTATTAAACATGCACATTGCACACAATTATTTCTCAGAGGATACAATAGAACTGTAAATTACATTGTAAGTATAACTGCAGGGTCACTATAATTTTGTGAATTTTGAGGGTTTGACAGTCTTTCTTGACTTCGTTGAAAATATGAATGACAATATACCGTGAGTGGCTTGGCGTGGCGCGTTGGCTGCTACCAGTCGCGGAATACGACTGGGAGTAAGTAACGGCCACAGCTACTAGCTCCCAGATGGGTGACCATCCGGGTTCATAGTAGTTAAAAACCTTGCCACACATACACGTGCTTGCTACCTACCGTAACAAACCAAAACAATCGTAAAAACAACCTACAGTACCAACCTTACCCCTACCACAGTTCATAACCCCTAAAACAGCTAATGGCCTTAGTCGCCGGGCTTAAGTTCAATAAAAAAAAAAAATATATACCGTGAACCTTAAAGGTGTGCAGCAGTGACTGTAGATAATGAGTATTCGTTATTAGTAGGGCCAACACTTGAATGCATTTGCATATTTCTATTGGTTGGTTAAAAAAACAGCTAGTTTATACCAAAATTTGTTTTATTACTGAACGATGCTATACACCAAATTTTGTTTTGCATATTTTTGTATATTATGGTATTTTTGTATTTTTAGGGCATATTTTAGCATTTATAGTATATTTTTGGAGCTTATTTAAGATCTAAAACTCGGGAATTACAAAATATTAATTTGTTTCACTCATTTACCTTATTATATTGGTATTTCAGCTCATTTGTGAAAAGAGGTAATCTAATATTAATCGCTAATTATTAGGGTCAACAATCATATTATGTCCGTAGATCGGTAACAGTATAGCATATAGAGATAAATAAAATATTTTATTTTATCGCATCTATTACAATCGTCAGTCGCTCTTTATATTCGTGCGGTGCGTTATTAAATAGACCATTTTAAAGTTAGTGGTACAAATGGCACTGATATTAACAAAAAATGTGAACATGTTTTTAAAAAAATAATGGTTTTCATATTCTTACGAAAATTTCTAAAGTATTATCCGGTGATATATCCACGTTAGAAGGCATCCCGGAAGATTTGATCAGCAACGATTTGTAGTATTATAAATACGCACATATTACATCCGTTGATGTAGAACTTCCTTTTCACGCCACAAAAATTTGTTAACGAACAATCGACGCTCAATGCTGTTTGAAAACTTATACTACCTAATCATTAATTGTCCAATGTAATAACATCGGATAAAAATTAAAATGTTTATCATCTGATTAATGGTTTTGTTTAACTTATTAATTATTACTTTAATTTTAATTTTTTAATATTTTTTAATATCACACATTTTTGTAGACCATTATTCATTGGCAATAATATTGTATTATAGTATAAATTGTATTATACATAAAAAAAATTAATCATTTAATCATTTTTTTACAATAACATTTTTTTTAAAGCATATTTTAGTAATTTTTAGAGCATAACTGTATACATATTTTATAGATTTTCGGGGCATATAATTGTTAGCCCTATAGTTATTAGTTTTTATTTTACGTAGGTATTCTTTATACATTTTAATTTATTTATTTGGGGAAAAAACTAAATTCCATTGTACCTAATGTTCTATTTGGTAAACGGAAAAAAAGTCCCCGTTAATAAAATCATACGAAAAACATGATTGTACGTAATTATTATTATACAACAATGTATTACATGGTATAGGTATTATGAGTAAGTTTCAATTTATATTATATATTAGTATATTACCTGGATAATTTACGAAATAAACGTAATATAAATAATATTTTCACTTATCTTATAGGTATGGGGTAGTGGATAGTGTACCTAAACCTTACTTATCTATATATTTTACGAGCCAATAATTAATAAACAAAAACAAAGTCCTAAGTATTCATCACGAGCATAACCATGCGGCCGACCAAAATAATATCGAAGCTTACTGGATAGTAGTAGAACCAACAACGTGTGTGAAGGTTGGAATAATAGGTTTAATCATTTGGTTGGGCATAAAAATCCATCGATTTGGAAATTATTGAAAAATATGAAAAACAAAGTGGGGTCTGATAACGCCAAATTAACATTGAGTGAAATAGTGTAATTAACTTACAAGTGACCACATAAAGGGCATATAATGCAAATTCGATTAAAAAATGTATGCGAACAATTTAAAAACGGAGAATTGAGCGTTGATATCTTCTTGACAAATATAGGGCATAATATAAGAATGAAATCTGGTAAAATTTGTAATAAGTGTATTTTTTTTCTATGACTTTTCCTGATTATACATACCTATACCTGTAACACATAATTTTGTAAAAATTTTTGTAGCTTGTAACTTGTAAAATTTACCTATATACCTGTAACATATAATTATTAAATGTTGTAATAAATGTAATAATTACGTACAATCATGTTTTTTCGTATGATTTTATTAACGGGGACTTTTTTTCCGGCATTCGTTCTATTTGTATACAGACATACAGTATACCTAATTAATAAATATTATAATAAGTACGTACTTGTAGTTACGACTGTAGCGTTGCGGTACACTGGCACATTTGTTATCGGTATGGTGACGGTAGCTAACCTTAGGTTACCTAGGTTCAAAATACACACATTTAAATTTTAAATTTTAACAATATTGGATATTTAAACAAAAAGTAAAGATTTTAGAAGCTTTGTTACCTATATGTAGCCATGTAGGTAATTCAAAAAGCAATATTCGTAGAGACTTGATACTACTCATGTACTTATATAATTATTTAAAAATATTTAGAATGATTTAATGTTATTAATTATACAGTGAACCTTTTCACATAATATGACATACTGTTTTACATTGTTCTATGGTATTATTGTGGTTCTACATTTCTAAGCCGATTATTAACTAAAAGAGGTTCACAACTCACCGTATCGTGTCGTATTCATATATTTAATACAAAGGTCACAAAATGTTGGTCACACGTTACTTATGTATGAAATATACGGAACACTACACGGCGAGTTGTGAACCCAACTTAAGACGACTTCACAAATCACAGTTCACACCTCTCCGTGATCCATGAACCGTGATTTCAGGAAAAAAAAATAGCCCTATGATTGGCTGAATCTCGTTGTTACCTAGCGGTTAACCGCTACGGTTATAACATAGAACAATAAAAGGCGGGTTTCCACTACACACGTGAGCGCATACGTGCATACAAATCCTTTCCTATGATTGGTTGTTTAGGTTAGGTCACCACACGATTAACCACGTTACCTTGTTGTTGAGCATAGCTGAACATTTATCGTGGACAAGGAACACGCATATAGTGAAAACTCTCCTTTATACAGTTATAAGTAAGTAACAGCCAACAGGTATTGCAGATACCAGAAAGTAGAACCATAGAAAAATACTACCACAAAATAAATTAAATTTCATTTATTCTGTGATACTACTCAAGTCAAATGTTTACAATTATGCGGTTACTGGTTATAAGAATAATTATCAAATAAAAATTTAAGCTGATAGTCGATTGTTTCATTGTGACAATCGTGATACCATTTACCAATATATTCGCCACTTCACCACAAAATGAATTTACACACAATTTTGAGAAATCAGGGATAATTTTTTTCCTGAAATCACGGTTCGTGGTTCACGGAGCTGTACCTATGAAGTCACCTTTTACGTTAATGCCTTAATGGTGCAAACACACCACCTAAGAGTTTTAAAAATTTGGATTTTCCAAATATTAAATAAAATATAAAAATTCCTTCTCTGTTAATTTATAATTAATGTCCATGATTATGCCGAATATATAGTAAATATTAAATACTTACATTCTGAGAAACCGTTGTTTGTCAAGCTTCAGTAGTTACTAGGTACTGTCGTACTGACTACTAACGTGGGTACAATTACGAAAGAACGATAATATCACTCGACTATAAATACATTTTATTTTGATCACTAATTATTATTAATTTCGTTATCTATTTTTTTTTTTTATGGTATCGAGGACCAGAGGGGGGACCGCGTTAGCATTACTTCCCCTCATTAATACCGTTATCTATGGCAATTACCTGTGGTACATTATTATGGGCCGGTATGTCGAGCAACTTATAATAATATTATATTGGTGTATACCTAATATAAATAAAATACAGTGAAACCTCTCTTAACAGACACCTCTCAATAACGGACAAAATTTCCGGTCCCGGCATAGTCCCGTTGAAAATAATAGATAATGCTCCTCCAAATAGCGGACACCTCTGAATAACGGACGTGGACAGGTTAGGTAGTCCGAAGTGTTTAAATATATCTAAATAACGGACAGCTGTCCAAGAAATATGAACTTATTATTATGTAGGTATACAATGCAATATGTAATATACAATATATTTTACCGATAGACATTTATCTAAATCGTAATTTAATGAATACGAAAAGGTAAGAAAAATTACAAAATTGAATAAGAACCTATACGAACGATAGTGATGTTA